GCGAGAAAACTCACATCAGGTAAGTATAACATATACCCGATCAGGGATTTACTTGATTCGAGTGTCTCAATCAAATCCGGGAAGAAATGACCATGCAATGGGAGCAATATTTGTGAAGATTCGTCTGTTACCTGATCGGGTATCTTATATACCCGGCCAACTCCAAACACCTATAAATATACCCATTTTCCTTCCCATTTAATCATCAATTCCTATATACTTCTAAGCTCATTTTAGTTAAGTACTTTCTTATAGGGGTGGGTTCAGTTTTGACCTAAAACCAACTATAGAATCAAAGTAAAAAAGTTCGGTTCGGTTTCGGTTCGGTTTCGGTTCGGTTTCACACTCCAAAATTCGCAACCACGGTTTGATTGGTTCGGTTTGTTTTGATTCGGTTTCGGTTTTTTCGGTTTTTTACCAAAAAAAATATCATTTGATTTAAAATTGATATAATACTTTGAGGGATCAAACATATAACATAAAGAATGCAAGCACAGTACAATAAATAAAATAAAAATGAAAATAAATAAATATGTCTTGAATTATATGAGTATGCGAGACTGCGAGAGAGATAAAAGTATACTACCTCCGTTCTTAAATAAATGCAACATTTTGACTTTTACACTATTCACATGTTCTACTTTGACTACGTTTTATTTATTAATGTAATAATATTATTTTATGAAAAAAATATTGTTAAACTTGTCTCATTGTAAATTTTTATAATCTAATTTTTTTAATTTTTTTACTAATACAAAATGATTTATATTAATGGTCAAAGTTGTGTCTCGACAAGTGTGAAATGTTGACCGTTGCATTTATTTAAGAACGGAGGAAGTATATATTATTAATTTACATTGTTTGTGACTAGTAAAAAACAGTTCATGAGTATATACGTTCTATGTGATATAGTTGATCTGAGATGAATATTTGTTGAGAGAATTCCCTATATATGAGCAAAAACATTTTCCAATTCCAAAATAGGACTATCATGTTTTATTCCTTGGATAGAAATAAATTTCTGCCAAGTTTGACATTACTAAGCTTTAAACATGGCATTTTTTCTTTCAAATTTGGCAGATTACTCATGTTCAAGGAATAAATAACATGATAGTCCTATATTGGAATTTCAAAAAGTTTTTACTCCTATTTAGATCAATTTCTGATATTTATTGTTTCATCAATATGAGTTCTTTAAGTTAAATAAAAATAAAAATTAATCAATACTAACAACTAGTAAAAACATATTATCATCATTCAGTATAGCTACATTATTAAAGGCAATGAATGTGTAAATGAATTTATAAACTAAACTAATCTAAAATAAACATAACATAAACATTATTTCTCTAGCACAAGAAAACCAAAGACTATTAATGATATTAGGATTAGTTCGAATTAATGCATAACAATTGACAAATAAATTTTATATTTTATTAGTTCGGTTTGTTCGGTTCGGTTTCGAAGGGTAAAAACCAAAACCGAACCAAACAACTACGGCTCGGTTCGGTTTTTTACATTCAGTTTCGGTTTGTTAGCGGTTCGGTTTTATTTGGCTACGGTTCGGTATGATTTGATTCGGTTTTCGCTTTTCAATTTTTCGGACCCAGTCCTACTTTCTTATATGTTTCTAGTATGTTTAGTTTCCAAATGAGGAGCTAAACTCTTCCATCTCGGTTTTGCTACATTAAAGTTTATGATTTGTAAGCTGTGAGTTATTTTCTTTAATCATCTTCGTTGAATATTAATTACATTTCTATTTTATATCTCATATTAATATTTGAGCATTACTTAAAGAATCAATTGGTTTTGTTTCATATATTAATTATTACTAGAATCAATCGACGAATATGTTTGTTATTCGCTCGATTCTTTCAACGATATTGATCTGCGTTACTCAATTAAATAATTTTCGTGCGATTAAGTCTGTTCAGTCCCGAAATCTAGTTGCCTCCGGAGTCCATCTCTGTTTCCCTTCTGTCATTAATTAGAAAGAGCCCCTTTAATTTAGCTTTTTATTCGCACTATTTTAGTTCCATAAATCAAATCTTGTGCATCACATTTATTTATTTTGAATTCCTGAATTTATTTATTGGTAATACTTAATTCTCTTTTTTCGTACCTTTGGAGATGATGCTCGTACTAAAACTATATATATTATTTACACATATTTTAAGTACGAGAAAACTCATATCATTGCTTCTTTCTGGTGACTGGACAAACTAGATTTTCTATTATTTCTTTGTCGGTGGATGGTGAAATCGGTTTATTTGTTTTCTATCACGTATTAGTTTTAGTATTCTTTATTTATTTAATTGGGGAGTTTACATCTTTGTGGAGTTAACGAATTATTATATTCCTCTGAAACTTTTCAATTTTATGCACATCTCATTGAAGTCTTAAGTTATCAGAATTTTTTTTGTACTAATGGTTTTTATTACTAATATAAATAGAATCCTTCTTGGTGTACACCCTGGGTTACACCCTGGGGTACACCCCATTTATTTTCCCTTCACACAGACAAAAAACATGAAAACACAAACACTTTCAATTAAACTGTCGGTGTGAGTTTGCAGATCTGCCAGGCTAGTTGCACGCAAACCAATGTCGGTGTGCACAGACACTAGTTGTCTGTGTAGACAAAAAAGTGTCGGTGCGAACAAAATTGGTTTGCAAGTTCAGGGGGTTGGGAAACCAGTGTCGGTGTGCATAAAACGTAAAAAGAGAGAAGGAAAGAAAACCGACGAAAATTGTATATGTACAGACACTTTTTTCTACACAGATAACTAATGTCTGTGTACACCAACACTAGTTTCCCACCCCCTGAACTTACAAACCAACTTTGTTCGCACCGACACTTTTTTGTCTACACAGACAACTAGTTTCTGTGCACACCGACATTGGTTTGCGTGCAACCAGCCTGACAGATCTGCAAACTCACACCGACAGTTTAATCGAAAGTGTCTGTGTTTTTACGTTTTTTGTCTGTGTGAAGGGCAAATAAATGGGGTGTACCCAGGGTGTAACCCAAGGTGTGCCTTAAGAATTTTCCATATAAATAACTATTTTCCAAAAAAAAATGCCTCCTAATGTAAAAGAAATACGGAGTATATGTACTACTCAGTATATAGGTGGATGAGTATGATTGGGCCAGCAGCAGCAACTTCCCCGTGAAATTCAACTCGACATACAAAGCAAGTAGTGCCAAATGATATGGTTCACGGGCTCTCATCCTTCGGCTCCTATTCTATGTTTCTCTTTTTCCATACCCAAATTGTGATTTTGCCTTGTTTCTCTTTCCAAGATTTTGTTCTTCATTCAATAAAATATACTTCCTCCGTTCTTAAATAAGTGCAACGGTCAATATTTGACACTTGCCGAGATACAACTTTGACCATTAATATAAATGATTTTGTATTAATAAAAAAATTAAAAAAATTAGATTATGAAAATTTACAAGGAGACAAGTTTAACAATATTTTTTTCATAAAATAATATTATTATATTAATAAATAAAATGTATTCAAAGTAGAACATGTGAATAGTGTAAAAGTCAAAGTGTTGCATTTATTTAAGAACAGGAGTAGCATGTAGTATACTAGTACGAGTGCTTTCTTAGAGAACAATTTTGTCCGATCCACTCTTCCAAAGAAAGGTGATATTCACCGTGATCGTCTTCTAGAAGGTGAAATAGGTGCTTAACACTGAGGCTCGATCACTCTTATAGAAGACTTCCAAAAATATACAATATAATACTTTGTATTAGTTATGAGTTGGTTTTCTAGATGTTATGTATTATTCGAGATTTCAAAAGGTATATAACTTTTAGATATTTTAATTTGTGTGCTTTAAACATCATCAAACTTATATTAGTATTTCATTGAATTGTCTAGTCTATTTGTATTCCATTGTTCAAATTTGTATTTTTCTCTTATTTTAGGTGCCTCAATCCGCCATTTGTAATTGAGGCCTCCAAATTGATGATCTTGATATTCACCCCATCCTATCGAGTATCGGCTGCCACATGGCATAGCATAATAGCAATTAGTTTCAATTTGGCAATTGTTATACATTTTCATTTCTTGTTTTACTTTTTTTTTTAAATCAATATTTTGAATTTTTTATCTTTCATATGATATCAATATTGTATATGTAAAATTTAAAAAACAAATCCCGCTAAAATAGATTTAAGAAAAATTGTTTTATTTTTCCTTTTTTTATATGAAATATTTATACCATCGGAGTAATTTTTTAAAAAAAACTAAATTATAAATAAAAAATTATACGAAGTATTAATTTTAACTAAGGATAAAACAAGGATAAAAAGTTTGTACCTATAAAAAAAGGGACGTGCTTTCAATATGTGACCTTAGAGCATCTCCAATGCTATAATGTGCACGGTGCACATGTGCCATGAGTGATAGCAACATAAATATTAGCATATAAATTATCTCTCTCCTTATTTGAATGATTTTATACAATTTTGGTAAGTTTGTCCCTGCAATGTCAACAACAATGTCAACATCTAGACGGTCTCATTGACATTGTGGAGAAAAACTTACCAAAACTGTATAAAATCATTCAAATAAGGAGAGAAAGAATTTATTTACTAATATTTATGTGGCTATTTCTCATGCCACGTGTGCACCGTGCACATTTTATCATTGGAGATGCTCTTAGCTTGGGAGTACTGGGTAAACTAAAACACTTATGAGGTGGCATTGGAATTACACCGTCCATCGAAATATTATTAAAATTATACTCCGTATGGAATTACATTTTTAAAATGTGACCTGCGAGTGCCAAATGGGCAAGAGTGAAAATATTAAAATAAAAAACATCCAACTGTAATTTTCTAAGGTACAAGTAGTACGGAGTATATTTTTACCAAAAGATTAATGGAATTATGGAAAGTTACAAAAAGATTATGAAACATGTGACTTCTTCATATTACAGCTAGAGTGCAAGATTTTTTTGGAATATAGCACTCTATATAATATGTGTATTCAGAATCTCGTTTTTCCGGCCATGCACCACCTCTCTCGCTCACATGTGACCCTCTAATGTCATCTAGACGTACTATACAGTTTGGGTTGAGGACAGAACCAGCAGTAGTACGTATATATCGTGTCTTCAATTTATTAGCTAGCTAGTGTAACTGTTAACTACTGCTTCAATCATTGGTCAGTTAGCCGGCAAATGATTCCGATGGGCCTCCGTGGGCTAATTTTGCTGCAGTCTTTGATGATGATCATCATCATTGTGTCATCAATCACGGGCTGTAGTGTTGAAGGAAGACGACACTTTTACAGGAAACAAGAGAACGACGACAACAAAATGCTGCAGGCTCCTTCCCCTGATGAGGACAATACCCCTGTTTCGCCGGTTCCTGCCGTAGTTCCCTCCGACCCCGTTGAAGGCGCGCCGCCGCCCGACGTCGACGACGATTCTGGGCCGTGCGTTTTTGACGTCACCGACTACGGCGCGGTTGGCGATGGCGATACTGACGACACTGCCGCATTTGTGGATGCTTGGAAGGCCGCCTGCCAGGTTGAGGATGCTCTTCTCTGGGCTCCTCCCGACCTTAATTTTATGATCACTTCCACCATTTTCTCCGGACCTTGCAAGCCCGGACTTGTTTTTCAGGTAAGAGTCTTTTTCTTCTTCCCATAAATAAGAATTGATATCGAGAATGGCCGGTGTCTCTGTCATTGGAAGATTTGAGGGAGGGTAGGGGAAATTCAACTCATAAGTCTCACAATGTACAAAAAATGTGAATCCATACAAAAACAAAATACTATCTATAGCACAAACTTAATTAATACCCCGTAGTCCGTACTAGGAAATAGCCTTTCTGAAAGAAAAAAATACTCCCTAGGAAATACCCTGAGTAAAACATGGACAAAGCGCAGAGTGAATATATTTTATTCTCAAAATAAAATTTAATTAATTCTATTAAAGATATACTATTAATTGGGAATGATGAGTTGAAAACAATAGTGATCTTATTTTTTCTAACAAATATACAATAATAAAAAAATTATATCTTCCTAATAAAAAACCGCAGTACACTTTTTTCTAATAAAAAATTTAATTAACAAATATCTTCTGAGTGAGAAGATATCACTTTCCTTTTTTGGATGTAACATTTATATCTTCCTATTTCTAAATCTTCCCATCATACCCTCAATAATTTAAAAAATAATACACTATTACACCTACTTTTTTTGGATTTATCCTTCATTCCATCACATTATTTCACTATCTTCCCATCATACCCTCAATAATTTATATCCTCTTTCACTATTCTTAATCTCACCCACTTTGAAAGTGGGAAGATATATCTGATACGGAGGGAGTATGATTTCTCATTGACAATATGTCAATATGTAAAGAAATACTCCCGTCAGTACTGTCAATTATAAAGGATTGTTGATGGATGATAACTATGATTTCTCATTGACAATATGTCAATATGTAAAGAAATACTCCCTCAGTGACTTAAAAATCTTCCCACTTTCCTTTTTCGTCCGTAACACAAAAATCTTCCCATTTCTAAATCTTCCCATCATACCCTCAATAATTCTTAAAATAATGCACTATTACAACTACTTTTTTTGGATTTATCCTACATTCCACCACATTATTCCACTATTTTCTCATCATACCCTCAATAATTCATATCATCTTTCACTATTCTTAATCTACCTACTTTTGAAATGGGAAGATTCTAAAGTTATGGAGGGAGTACTTCGTAACTATATATATTTATCTAAAATAAATGTTGTCTGCAAAAAAATGATTCTTCTAAATATAGTGATTCTAGTGACTATAGTAGTCAGTAGATAAAAGTTCGTTAAGCATTCTAAAGTCGTCCTAAATTGTTGGGAATCACGATCTCTGCCTCTTTCTGGATCACGAACTCATAGAACTTTTTTAGCTCACTCAGACTACTAATACAAAGACTCGGTATGATAATATCCACTGTTCAATCTATTAAGTATACAATTAAAATGTACAAGAGAGATAATACAAGTAAACAAGCATTTTACTTCACTCTTTATATTTGGTACGACTTTATTCACATACATTTATGAGAAACCTTCTTGATTATCTCCTCTCCCCATCAAGGATGCTCTTAATTCGGTTATCATGAGACATACTTGTAATATTTTCTCACTCTCCTCTCTCAAAGACATACTTGTAATATTTTCTCACTCTCCTCTCTCAAAGAACCGCTCACCCTCACGGCCTCACTCACTCAAATACTCACTATAGGTCTCTTCAAAGCCCTCACAGAAATGATGAGTCTCATGGTTTTCACATCTATTTACACAAATCTCCTCAAGATCTCTTTAGAACTTTCAATAAAATACACTATTGCATTTCTAAAGTTTTCCAAGTATCTTCTATAAGGATATAGAAAACTCCACATTTCTTTGAATGGTCCAAAGACTTTCACGCGGTTTAGAAAATTCCAAACTGCTCTAAAAAACTTCACAATATTTTAAAATATTCTATACATATCCACAATATTCTATAATTCTTATAATCTTTTTAATTAAAGAAGTAATCCAACATAAACATTGAATATAAGAGGGGGCGAGAGGGGTTAAACTGAATAAAAATGAAATGAGATTATTTAATTATCCTAGCTATCCTGGCCGTAATTAAATGCATTGGATGGAAAGGTGGACGGAGTACTGATGCCGCCGGACGGGCCGGAATGCTGGCCGGAAAAGGACAGCGCGAAGCAATGGATTGTGTTTTACAAGCTTGATGATATGACTTTCAACGGCACGGGAACTATTGAAGGACATGGGCAGAAATGGTGGGATCTCCCCTGCAAACCTCACCGGGTAATAATTATAGTGCAATATGTTAAAAATATTGAAGTATATTTTAAATGTTTAAAATATACTCTCACATGTCACCTCATTCAAACTTTTTACAATAAAATATTTGAAATTCCCATTTTAGTGTCACAAATTATTTGGTGTCCCCTTAGCATTTTCTATCCATAACCAATTGAATACCACGTTGATTCACTCTTAATTACACTTTTATTTTGGCACGATAAATAAAAAAATTAAAACACAAGTAGGTAGAACTTCGTTTGGACAACGGAGAATCAACACCATTCATAGAACATTTTTCGTAAATTGAAAGAGAAAGACATTTTGAAGCTAACAAAAATATTTATATTGAAAATATAAAAGGAAAAGTTAGTATAGTATCGAACTTATTGTATTTGGAAATAAAACGGTGTTTTGAAGCATCTCTCTCAATGGATTGATTTAAAACAAGAAAACATTTTGATATCAATCAAAGACAAGTCGAATTATAAAATTTGACTATTTTTTAACATGCATAATCAAAAGAAGTTATTCACTCTCATAATGTTCAGTCTAGTTTGGGCCACGGTGCATCTTAATGTATTTATCCCACACCAGCATCAAAACAATATATAAAACATTACATTAGAGTTGCCCCTCTCAAGTCAAAACATATACTCCCTCCGTCCCTAAATAAACTTCCAACTTTCCTTTTCCGTCCGTCCCAATTAAAACTTCCACTTACTTTTTTGGCCAAAATTTGTGATTCACAGCAATTCTTACACATTTCTCTCTCTTCTGCACAACTCTCCACCACACAATACTCACTATCTTAAACTCTGTGACAAACCTATTTGGAAGATATAATAGGGACGGAGGGAGTATCAAGTATCAACACGCCCTAATATATATGGGAAAATGGTGTTTTTTCAGAATTTTCAAAATATTACAGTGATGCATTCGTCTTTTGCCATTTCTTTTGCAAGAGAGAAACCTTTGCCTTGAGCAGTCATTTCATAGAGTTAGCAAGCACATGTTCAGCTAACAGTTGCTTCAAATGAATGAAAACATACATGTCTACCTTGCTTTGGATTGATTGGTCAATTACATAAATTACATTGATAATAAAACTAATTCTTCTCTTATAATATTAATTTAATGCTAGAGTTTAATATAAGGAATCACATTCAAAAATTAACTGACCGCAAAAAATAAAGTAATACAATAAAGAAATTAAGTATGTTAGGCAACATAAATGATGCTAGAATATTAAGCTATATATTCCGGGACGGACATACTACAACTTAGGATGTTTTTACTTTGACTGTAATTTGCTGGTCTGGTCTGGTCTGATCTGGTCTGGTCTGGTCTGAATTGGTCTGGTCTGGTAAGGTCTGGTTTCTTTGTATTTTTATAATTATCCAAGTCTGGTCTGGTCTGGTCTGAACTGGTCTGGTCTGGTCTGGGACAAATTACAGTCCAAGTAAAAACATCCTATTTGGCACATTTAAGGTATGAATGTCTAAATGTGGAAATAGCATATGCAATACAGCAATATGTGCGAACGTGTTGTGCATATATGATATGAGAGAGAGATAAAATTTAATAAATATAATTTTTTACCCTTATAAAAATGATTTTTTGATTTTGTGATAACTTTTCCTTCACAATGTCAAAGAAACATCTAAATTGGGACATTGTGTTTGCACGACATTCTTAATAAAAATAAATAAAAAACAAAAGACCGTAAAGAAGATATAGAAGTTTCATTGATTTAATGTTATATGAAAAACCATAATATATACTCCCTTCGTCCCCTTTTAAATGTCTCGTTTTACCATATTGGGATGTCTCTATTTAATTGCTACATACCTTATTTGGTAAAGTTTGTGTGGCTCAAAATCATTCTTACTTTATTCTTACTTTATCAATTAATATCAACCACACAAATCCACTTTTCTTAAAATTGTGACACCCTCTTCCGGGACATTTAAAGGGGCGGGGGGAGTAATTGATTAATTGGCAGAATACTAAACAAGATTATTTAAAAAAAAAACAATATGCAAGTACTAAACATAAACAAAGTGACGTGATTTTAATTTCATCACAGGGACCAAATGGATCAACATTGCGAGGACCATGTGACAGCCCGGCGGTAAGTGACAAACGATGATAACGACGTCTTTTGATTCACCAAAACGGAATATGGTCGCCCGTGACCCAACTAAATTCACAAAATTTAGTCCTTTATATTCATTATTTATTCTCTTTCAAGAAAATCATACTCCCTCCGTCCCTAATAACTTTGCCAAGTTTGACCGGCACGGGGATTAATAAAGTAAAAACTGTGTGGTTGAGGTTTGTGCAGAGGAAAGAGAATTAACTGGAACCACAAATTCTTTACTTAAATGGGAAAGTGGCAAAGTTAATGGGACATCCAAAAAAGGAAAGTTGGCAAAGTTATAAGGGACGGAGGGAGTACTACGTATTTATTGAATGAGAAAGATGAGCGCATGGTTTAGAGCCCGATTGGTTGGTTGACGGATGGTGAGAAAATTGGGTTTAATGCACCAAACCCCCCTATGATTTGGAAATTCGGCGCATTAGCCCCTTGTGATTTAAAAAATGCGTCAAACCCCCCTGTGTTTTAATTAATCATGCGCCAAATCCCTTATGTGAACAAATTCAATTGTGAAATAAAAGAAAAATGATTAACATTTTGTATGATTCAGAGATTTTGACATATTTATTTGCATATTCAATCAAAATATTAGGAAAAGTGATTTTCAAATCGTTAAATTTATTCATAAAGGGGGTTCTGTGCATGATTAATTAAAACACAAGGGGGTTTGAAGCATTTTTTAAATCACAGGGGCTAATGCGCCGAATTTCCAAATCACAGGGGGGTTTGGTGCATTAAACCCGAGAAAATTTATGAAGTTCTACTAAAATGTTTGAATCGTTTATTTCTGTGACTTATAAGGAAAAAATTGGAATATATTTTATTAATGAAATGAAGAAAAAAAAAAATTAAAATGGTCTTATAATGTAGGAAAAAGTACATAAAACGTACATGTAATTTGGGCTGTTTTCAATTAGAGGCATGTGTTCCATTTTTTAACAAAGTAGGACATGTGTTTCAATTCCGTTATCAGGTGAGTGTCTAGCGCCGTTAGAAAAATTAACTTCGATTTTCAAAAGTCTTTGAAAAATTAAAAGAAACATACTTGGGCGCGTCTCGTCAAGTTGACCAACTATCGTTCTCTTTGGATTTTTCGACTCTATTTGGATTATTCCTATGTTTAAAAAAACGACCCGACCCGGCCGGGTTGACCCGGAACCCGGTGACCCAGATAAAAAACTGGTTCGGTTTTTTCAAAACCCGGAAATGGTCAAAAATCGGAAAAACTCGGCTGACCCAGGAAAACCCGGTCAAGACCCAGACCCAAGAAACCCGAAAAACCCGGTAAAACCCAGTTTTTGGGTGTTTTTACCAAAAAAAAAAGTAATTTCTTTTTTATTTTTAATGCATTTTTTATACCAATAAAATTGTAATTTCAATACCTTAAAAAGAAAAACTACGTAATATATTTATATATTTATTTAAGAATGAACATCATGCCAAATTATAATATAGATGTACAATAAAAATAAAAATATCATTATATATTTTTATAAGATCAAAATATACATTGAAATATTATAAGAGTGTATTAAGTGCTCAATAAGTAGTATTGTTAGTTGATTATTATGAATAACAACTAATTTTTATTATAATTTTATATATAATTATATGTTTACAATTATTATATAGACGTATAATCATTGACCGGTTTTCCGGCGTTGACCGGGTTGACCCACCGGGTCCGGGTTGACCCGTGACCCAGTCATGTGGCCGGGTCACTCTCCGGTCCGGTTTTTACAACATAGGATTATTCTTTAAAAAATGAATTCGTTAATATTACTTTTCTGGTGGACTTCTGGAGACAGGGTGGCTGGAAACAAAAAAACGAAATGGTTTGGATGTCTTCTTGATGAGACGCACATTCTAGTATTTTTCTTTTAATTTTTTGGAAACTTTTGAAACTCAGAATTAATTTTTCTAACGGCGTTAGACGCCATGCCCCAGCTGTGATAACAGAATTCAAACACATGTCTCACTTTGTTAAAAAATGAAACATGTGCCCCTATATGAAAACGGCCCAAACCACAGGTACGTTTTCTGTATTTTTCCCTTGAAAGTAATTTCGACTTATTCACTCAGAAAAGTATATATCTCTAACTTTACTTATGTTGATTTTTAGCCAATTCAGCTCGCGAAATAAAAAATTATGTGCTTATTGAAAAATTTGACTGATAAAACTGATAAACTGAAAACAGAGTCACCAAACCGAGTTTAATATTTTGTGGTGTGAGATATTCGGTATATTCTTTGACACATCTTTTAACTCAAATCAGGCTGAACAAACAAATCAAACTAAACACTTCTTATTAAATACTCCCTTCGTCCCTCAATGTGTGTCCTAGTTTGACTTCACAGATACGGAGTATTAAGAAAATGAATTTGACTTTACACTGTCGCGACACTGTTTGACACTGTCGCAACACTGTTTGACACTGTAGCAACACTGTTTGACACTGTAGCGACACTGTTTGACACTGTAGCGACACTGTTTGATAAAGATTTGTTTGCCAAATAAGGAAAGAAAAAAGTAGGACAAACATTTGGGACTTCCATTTCGGGAAAGTAGAACAAACATTGAGGGACAGATGGAGGTCAATTTTAAAGCGCTAACTTGAAAAAGTAAACATTTCAAATTAAAATATAACGGAGTATGATTGATTTAGTTTAACAATCTAATTTTAAAGAATGAGACTAGTACTACAAGAAAAATTACAGATTCATAACATTTAATTTTATTGAACAAATTGTAGTTAACACGTAGTATATACTACGTATATAATAATAAAATCCAATTTATTATATGGTTTAGGCGTATTCACTTTAAAAATGTTTTAATCAGACTGAATTTTTTTATTATCTAATATGATTAGTGTAAATGTAGTGCGATCATCTGAATCGGTATAACACTATAACTGTTGGAATATAAATTGATTTTGTTTTATTTATTTAAATTGGATCATATTTAGACTCATCTTGTCTGATTTGATCTCAAACTCAAAGTTGAATTGTAATCATCAATCATGGATACTGAAAGAGCTCGAGAAGTCAAATTCAGAATTTGATATGAGGATGAATAGAGTATAGCATTCGCTATTCGGCCCTAGCTAGCTAGCTATGTGCTAAAAATGTACCCTACATATATGCAATGCAGCTCATTCGTTTTTTCATGAGCTCCAATCTGGTGGTCAGTGGTCTCCGGATCCAGAATAGTCCTCAGTTCCACCTCAAATTCGACGGTTGCGATGGAGTTGAAATTTATGATCTGTCTATTTCTTCCCCCAAGCTTAGTCCCAACACGGATGGCATTCACGTCCAGGACACCACACGTGTCAGAATCTACGACTCTGTCATCGCTAATGGTCCGAATTCATTACGTTTTAATAATGCCTTTGATTTGAAGTTACCTTTAATGAATTAATTCTGCACTTTGCAGGGGACGATTGCATATCAATAGGGTCCGGATGTTCTAATGTTGAGATCGATGCAGTCACTTGTGGGCCCAGTCATGGAATTAGGTAACTATTCTCTTTGCAGCACCTGACTCTCCTCTTCCTTCTCCATAGTTAACATGTTATTATTTCTCAAGCTTCACTATTCAAATCATCAAAGTCTCTATGCAGGCTCCCTGCCCAATAGCTGAACAAACTTCCGGCCATACGCGTCAAACCCCATCCGAAAAATCAGACCCTAAAGAAACCTAGGGAAATCGCCACTCTTCAAATACTTTCTCTCTCTAACTAGGGATGGACGGGTCCGGGCGGCCTGACTGGGGACTAGTACTGTTTGGTATTGCTCCGGGCAGGGGCGGATCTACCTTATGTCCAGGGAGGGCCTAGGCCCATGCTCAAAAAAAAATTGTATATATATACTAGGTAGTAATAATATGTATAATGTTGTGTAAAAATGGTATAATAACTATCAAAGTCGATTTCTTACCAAAAAGCAGGACGGCTTGATGGATTTTGAAGCAATGTTTGCAGCGCTTCTATTTGGAAGACCTGAGTTCGAATCCTGCTTAGAGCAGAATTCTCTAATTTTTGCAATGAGAGCATTCTGTTTTAAAATTTTAGTTTTTTTCCCCTTATATTTTTTTATCCCACACCGGAAGAGGAGCAGATTCTTCCTTCATAGACATCTATTTAAACTTGATCTCCTAGGATCAATTAATACAAACTTAAAATCATTAAATGGGTTTGATACTAATATTGGGCATGCTTTGGTCTTTTGAATATTAGCCTAAATAATTAGATCATTTGGCTTGAAAAGTGAATATTAGTTCAATGTTTATGGGCTAGAGGTGTTTTATGTATTTGATTTTGACAAAAAATCTTATTCTGGTAAATAATATTTGTTGTCTTTGACATTAGTTTAGAGAGTACTACATTTTAACATTTTTTATAATATACATTTTTTAAATAATTTTCGCCCCACCTGATTGCGAATCCTAGATCCGCCCCTGGCTCCGGGCCAGGTTTTCCGGTACCGGTACTGATACCGGCCTGATACCCAGATCGTGGTTGAATAGGGCGGGCTTCAGGCCTGAATTTTGGGGCTCGACCCGGTCCAAGCCAAACGGCTACAGTTTTAAAAAATAAAAATTAATTAATGGGCGGCTACCGGCGTGGACCTGACCCAGACCCGGTACTGTTTTGACCTGGACGGGAAGCGGTAACGGATCAAATCGTGTCGGTACTGGGCTTTAATTATTTAGAATCGGGACCGTCTTGGCTCCACCCCTATCTGTAACCACACAACCTCTAAAGTTCAATTTGTTTACTAAAAAACAAATGTTCAACCCGTGAGTATCCCTATTTTAATTTTTTATTATTATTTCTACATAGTCCTATTTCTAAAAGATTCCGAAATGGTAATAATTGTTTTTTTTCATATATGACGCAAGCAGCATAGGGAGCCTTGGAGTACACAATTCACAGGCGTGCGTATCTAACGTAACAGTAACGAACTCCGTGATAAAAGAGTCGGACAACGGGCTGAGGATCAAGACGTGGCAAGGCGGGACGGGGTCCGTGAGCGCCGTCACGTTCGACACCATCCAGATCGAAAACGTCCGTAACTGCGTCATCATCGACCAGTATTACTGCCTCACCAAGGACTGCCGCAACCAGACGTCCGCCGTCTACGTCCGGGACGTCACCTACCGCAACATCAAGGGCACGTACGACGTCAGGACCCCGCCGATTCACTTCGCGTGCAGCGACGCCGTCGCCTGCACCGGAATCGTCATGTCGGAGGTGGAGCTGCTGCCGTCGGAAGGGGAATCGGTGGCCGATCCCTTCTGTTGGAACGCGTACGGGGTTCTGGAGAGTTTGACAGTACCCCCAATTGACTGCTTATTGGACGGCACCCCGAGATCCATATCAGATGCGGCCCAGTATACCTGCTGAGCGCTGATACATACTTCCTCATCCCGAAAAGGTTGGCAAAGTTTGGTTGAAATTTGTGCAGAGAAGAGAGAATTAACTTTAGGCACATATTTCTTACTTTAAATGAAAATGGTCAACCTGTTTGGGACATCCAAAAAAGGAAATTTGGCCAACCTTTTCGGGACTGAGGGAGTAATTATTTCAACATTCCTTCCTTTATTTATTCCACACAAACATAAATAAATTATTACTTATACGTAGTACTCCGTACTACTTATTTACACGGTATGGATGAGGATGATGATATATCATTGATATAATGATATGTAGATGATTTTGGTAGATGTTCATTGTTTGGCCTACGTTGCTTGTGACGTATATATATTGGCATATTTGTATATATATGAACTCATTCTATAAGATGGTCAAACTCTTTTCTAGTTTGAAACTTTGAATTCTATGTATTCAAATTCATGCCCAAAAAAATCCGGCACGTAATGACCCGACCTAGCCTGAGACATATGGGCGGGACCGGCCCGGCCCGGCTTGCAAATGGAGCGGGTCCGCCCCGCCCATTCAACTTGTTTCCAAGTTTTTTAAAGTTGTCAATCTTCAAAGCTTTAGTTAGTACATTGACTATGCGATCTTATGTGCTGCAGTGAGTCAACCAAATTGTTTCTTTATTTACCCGCTCTCGTAGAAAATGAAACATGGTTTCAATTATAGGTATCGAACCCGTTTTATAATAATGATTCGACGGTTCGGAACGGGACAGGACAAGACGTTGTTTTTTTGTTGTCCCATTTAAACCGGTAGCGGGACAAAACGGAACGGTTCAGGACATCCCAAAAAATGTAGTGAAAAAATTGCAACCCAAAAAAAAAGCAAAACTATTTCAAAACATTTAAAAAAAACTAGCGCAAGAAAACTCTATGACAAAAAAAAACTATAGCTAATCAAGAAAATTGTGAGAAAAAATGCAACTTACCATATTAGCTGCATGAAACAAAAGTTGCAACAAAAAAACTCTAACACAAAAATCTATCAAGAAATCTGTAAAAATAATTATTAAAGAATACTATACGAAGTGAAGCCTTTGGGAATAAAAATCAATTTCTTTTTTGTAGATATATGATACTCCCTCCGTCCGAAAAGGTTGGCAAAAGTTGACTTTCATGTGGATTAATAAAGTAAAAACTGTGTGGTTGAAATTTGTGCAGAGGAGGGAGAATTAACTTTAGCCACATATTTCTCGCTTTAAATAGAAATGACAAATCTTTTTGGGACATCAAAAAAAGGAAATTTGGCGAACCTTTTTTGGGACAGAGGGAGTAGTTCATAGTATGTGATACTAAACAGTTTAGAGTTTTTTAGTTGTTTTATTGTTAAACTAGTATTTTAATAATCCTTTTGTATTTCAGTTGTGAAAAAAAAGATGATTATTATTATTTGGATTGCATAATGAGTTGTTGGTAGACTCATTAACCTACTACAAAGTACAATTTTGGATTCGGGGCAACGGGACGGGACGAGATATATTTTACTCGTCTCGGTCTCGTTTTGTTTTGAAACGGTTCGGGACCGATACGGGACAAAAATAATGTATCCCAAATATAACGGGACAATTTTGGAATGGAGTCGGAACATTCCAGAATGGACCAACGGGACCGGGTCTTTTGCCCACCTTTAGTTTCAATATGTTTGCTACGGCCATGTCAGACTAGGTTGTTGGCCAAATCTATGGCTGATTTGTTGTCATACTTGTCAATAAATAGCTCTATCTTGGTGTCAATTTGTTGATTTAAATCCTTTAGCGGGAATAATAGCCAAATAACTTGATATGTAGCATGACATGTTGCAATGTACGTACTCGGTTTCACAGGTAGATAAAGTCACAACATCTTGCTTGGTTGAACCCCACAAAACTGGAATATTTTCTAGATAAACAAAATAACCCATTGTGGTTCTTCTATTAGTCTTATCCTCACACCAATCAGAATCAATGTAAGCAATAAGGTGCAGAGTTTGACTTTCTAGTTTTTCTTTAGAAAACAAAACTCCATAATTGAGTGTTCTCTTTAAGTATCTCAACACTCTTTTTGCAATCGTCAAATGAGAGTGTCTAGGATCAACCATGAATCTACTCACTAAACTAACTCCATATAAAATTCCAGGTCTACTATGACATATAAATCTTTAGCAGCCTGTCAATTGCCGATAATTAGTAGCATTTATTTTTGACTCATCTTCACAATTGTCCAGTCTTTGATGAAAATCAACTAGAGTTTCAACTGATTTGCAAGACTGCATTCCAAATCTGTTTAATACCTTAGATACGAAGTATGTATTTTCTTTGGTGCACGTAGATTATTGGAGGGACCTACGGATTTCAAGCTAAGCAATTAAAATCCAAGTTGTCTTCATCATCTTTCATGAGCCGAACAGAAGAACACAGCGGCGGACGAAGAAAAAATGCACAACTGAACAGTGGCCGGTGCTATTTGCAGGAAGAAAATGAGAAATTGGCAATCACATCTGGTGAAGATTCAAATCAGTGGCCGCTCAAATATAATGATCCTTGTCTTCATTTGTAGATATTTTATGCTCCATACTCTTCTTTTGCTGCTATATAAAGGAGTCATTCGTGAGCTGCAGAACACACCAAGTTCTGATAGAAATCATTGTTCTCTTTTCTTTAGTTTATATTAGTAGCCATATAATAAAAGTGTCAAGAACACTTTCTGTATAGATTTCAGTTTGTAATTCTCAGTTCCAGAATTTTAGCTTGTGATATTAGTATTAAAGTTCATATGCAATTATCAGTTCGTTCGATCAGTGCAAGCTTTATACAAGGATTCCAGGCTTTTTCTGTTCCAGTTCATCTATGTTCTTCATTATTTATGCCTTCAGGTTCTTATTTAAACACTACTTTAATTTCTTTAATCTGTTAATTTAATTATGCCTAGCATGAATTTTACTCTTATTTTGTTTACTGTAATTATGTGTAACTAAATTAGTTTAGGCTTGGGCAAGATGTAAATTTTACTGTTAATGTTCATATGATAATAATTGGTTAAAACTTTTACTTGGTTAATTTTAGGGTGTTGGGTTGAATGTTCTAATCTGCTAAATACAATATATTGGGAAATGAATATTATCACGGGAGTGGAGTTTCATTAAAAATCCATTTAGTTAATTCACCCACTAAATTGCTACACGGAAGTGTTAAGGAATTTAGGATAATTTGATTTTGTACTTTTTACTGTCTTAATAAAATTACCGCGGGAGTGGAATTAATTTAAGATAGTGTAATCAACTAAGTCGTGGGAACGATTAGAAGATTACCATTTGAAAATCTTTCATACACCTAAAAGTAACCAAGTTAATCAGTTAAATCTTTATTATTATGAACATGAAAATAAAATCACTCTTAGCCCAAGCCTAATTTTCACTATATCATTAATTGTTAAATTATCAAGTGTTGTGATTTATTTTATTTCCTAGCAATTTCACATATATAAAAACAAGATCAAAAAATCTGTTCACTTAGCTCCATTTCAAAATGTTATCAATTTGTGATTAGCTAAAAATCAATCATTAACTTTAGTTCTCTTTTTGAGCCATTCTCTAGCGGAACGATACTCACTTACTCTATACTATATCGTTACAAGCCAATTAAAACATCATTTCCATTCACATTTTACACCATTTCACAGTACACATTTTGGCATGTCAAACACCTTTCAGAAAATAGGCAATCCTCTTATTCCAGACTCTAGGTGCCTGTTTTAGATCATATCAGACTTTCTTCAGTTTCAAAACTTTGTTCTCAAATCCTTTAATTTCAAATCCTCGAGGTTGGTGAATATAGATCGAATAAGTCCTCCAGTATTGATCCATTCAAGAAAGCAGCTTTGACATCAGGATGCCAAAGAGACCAATTTATGTAGCTAACAATTGCAACACTCACTCTAATGGTTTCAAACCTTGCCACTAATGCAAAAAAACATCATAATAATCAATTCCAGGTTTCTGCATAAACCATTTAACCACCAAGCGAGCTTTATATTTTGCAACTCATCCATCAACATGAATTTTAACTCTAAAGACACATGTAACTGAAATTGGTTCTTTACCAATAGGCAAGTATGTGAGCTCTCATACTTGATTCTTCTCAATGGATTTCAATTCTTCCTTCATAGCTTCAATCTAGACTTTCTGTGTGATAGCTTCTTCAAAGTCAACTGAGTCCAAGTTAGTTAACAAGGCTAAGTAAATGGGATCACCTTCAACATTGATTTCAGTATCTCTGAGCATGTGATAATATCTTAGTCAGTGAGGAGGACCAGGAAGTATTCTGGTTCTTGTTGGTCTATGTGCAGCCCTTTCAGGCATGATATCATTTTTGTTCTTTGTTTCATCATTTGATAGATCATTTTCTTCCCAGTCATCCTGCATTCTTGCTTAGAGTGTGTTAGAATTGTCAATATCAAACTTCCAGTAATCACATTCTTCAAATATTACATCTTTACTATACTTAATCTTTTCGAATATTGGATTGTAGAGCCTATAAGAGCCAGTAAAATTGTAACCAAAAGACACCATGGATTCACTTTTATTATCCAACTTCTTCCTTGTTTGATTTGGGGTATGTTTATAACATATACATCTAAAAACTTGAAAATGAGTAATTGCTGGCTTTTGTCCCGGCCAAACTTCCTCAAAAACTTGATCGACGGTTCAATATTTTGGTAAGTGATTTGTTTAAAATTTAAACACCAGTGGACACAGCTTCATCCTGAAGATTGTCTGTCCTTTAATTTGATAATGCTCTCCTTACCATGTTGAGTATAGTCATATTCTTTTTTGTCTCGGCAATTCCATTGTGCTGAGGGGAATATGAAGTCGTAATCTCATGAATAATGTCATTATCTTTAAATAATAGTTCCAACTCTTTTGAAGGGAATTCTCCACCACCATCAGTTCTAAATATATTAAGACAATGGCCAGACTGCTTTTCTATGAGAGTTTTAAAGGTCTTTAGGGTATCACATACTTCACTTTTTACCCTTAAGCAAATATGCCCACACTTTTTACCTTCCCGAGGGTTTAGTCTCAAAAGGCCCAAAGACGTCTGAAAAGACTACATGAAGCAATGCAGTGGCTCTTGAAGGAATAAAAGCATAAAAGAACCTCTAGCATGTTTATTGATTAAACATTAATCACACAATTTATTAAACAACTTTATAGGAGGTAGGCCATGAACTCTACCTTGATTATACAAATTGTTCATATCCCTGAAATTTAGAACTCCATATATGTAGTGCCATAGCCAAGAGTGATCAAGTGTTTTAGTAACAAGATATTGATTCTCTAAGGCTGTAATTTGGACTTGGAAGGTTATATTGCCGGAAATTGAAACCTTAAAGATTATGTTGTTCTAAGGATCATAAG